CTACCCTCCTACTCCAACAAAGCCATACCTCCTCATGGTGCCACTCCCTTTAGGTGTCATTTTCTTTCAAACCAACATATTAGCCCTGACCAGAATACCATGCCACTTGTGAGCATCAGAAATGCAGTGCTGTCTCTATAGAAACAGTTTGATGAGGACATACCACAGAGTACCTACCTCCTCAGTACACTCAGATGCCAACATCCTTGGAGGAGGTTCACTCATAGGAAAATTTGGCAATAGGCATAACAAGGATAAAAAAGTAATTACAAAAAGTTACTCTGAATGCTAAGATTATTCTTATAATGCACACTTGCCTCTGTTTACCTTGAAGAATTATGTAAGAACAACGTAACTTCTTTAAAACACTTTAAAGTACATTTATTTATCTCTGTTGTGAAAGGAGGGTGTGCATGCTAGGGTATCCATGTAGGGGTCACAGGACACCTTGTAGGAGTCGGTTCTCTTTTTTTTCTACCATGTGGATCTCGGAGCCACAGTTCAGGTCATCAGGCTTGGTGGCATGTGCCTTCATCTGCTGACTCAACTCACCAGCCCACTGTAACTGCTTTCTAGGTGGTATGATTCCAGCCTGAAAGATGGGCATTGTCGATAACTCACTTTAAACCTGTAGACGAGATGTCAGGAGTCTCCCCATGGGGCTGCAAGCATAGCAGCCAATACTCCAACTTTTGCCGAGTGCCCATAAAAAGAAAATGTCGAATGATGAACAAACGATCCATAATTAGGAAACATCCCAGCAAATGGACTGAAGGACAGAAGAAGACACACTGCTGCAGCTCATGCATTTCCTGCATGCCCAGCTCCAGTGCTGTGGCACGGGAGAAAGCGCCTTGACATTATCGTGCTACTGTTCTTAGAGCAGATCCTTTTGATGGAAGGTGCAATGTTTCAGGGCTGCTTTGATGTGTGTGGAAACACACCAACATCTTCGTGAAAGCAACGGTTATCAAGCACTGTACAGAGTTAAAAAGGAAGGCCTTTTAGGCAAGGACATGAACTATTTTTTTTTCCAGCTTTAAAGAAGCAAATGGGTTTTGAAATTCGAATAAAAATAAAATTTGAAATCAAATTAACAAAAAGGGGAGTAATTATTTTATCAAAAAGCTTACTCTTAAATCATGCTGTTGCCATGGATGCCAATTTGGCTAATCTGGGATGTAGCCCAGAATGAACATTTCACAATACAGGTGATTCTGCCTCAGAATGGTTTACACTGTCTCATTCTTTGGTTCCTCTTTCATGATCATTCTTTTTTCTTTTCTCTAATTTTCGTCTTCCTCTTGTTTCTCTTATGTGTGTTGTGTCCGTGCCCCCCACCCCCGCCCCCAACTCCATCTGCTCCTTTCTTTTCTTTTTTCTCCAGGAATAGAAAAAGATGTTGAAGGAAGGTAGCAACAGGGATGGGGAGACTGATTGGAGAGACCTGAGAAGAAAGAAGAAAGAAAATTGCCGATCCCATCAACCCCGAGCTGTGCTCTCAAGCAGTACATGGTCTCACTGCGTTCTCCACGTCCCTGTAATTGTGGCATACACTCAGACCACCCAATTTTCTACAGTCATGGTTAACAGAGGGAGGCCACCAGGGGCCAGGCAAAATGGGCATGGATCTTGGATTAAAGTCTGCAAATGCCCAAATTTAGTTCTTCCAACTAAAAGAAGCTGCGTTTAAACGGCTCAGAGTAGAACTGGGATTAGAGCAGCTATTGTCTTCGTCTCCCAACAGACGGTACTCTGATCTCAAGCTATCTACGGCTGCTTGCTTTTGCTTATTTCTGCCACCCAGAGACTTGTGCAAATGCATTTTTCTAGCATACGAAAGCAACACTCTTTGAAGAACCTTGACCTGTGAGTCAGGGGAAGCACTTCCACACCAGCCCCTAGCATTAGGTAACCTTGGTCCTTGGCACATATTGCAACCTTTCAGCTCTCATTACTCATTCTTGTCAAAGTGAAGGTGTTATCTATGATGTTCATTTTGGTGCTAGAATTATGCTCAGTGAAATTATATTAATCTTTTATAATGCTTCAAGATAAATATGATGAGGCATGCATAATGACAAGAACAAGTGAGTTTCTATTATATTCTAATATTTGAAGATTTATTTTAATTTTAATTATGCATATGTGGGGGGGTGAGCACATGAGTGAAGGTGACCTTGGAGAGAAGAGGTGTTGGTCCCTTGGAACTGGAGTTACATTTTACCCTCATCAGTTGTGAACTGATGAGGGTAAAAGTAGGAAGCAAAAGGAAGGGATCCCAAAAATCCAGTGTAGGACTTTCCCTGCCATGGCTCTGAGTCCTTGCTGTCAATCAAAAGTAATATGCGTGCAAAACCCAAGGATTGTACAGGTTTTCCAGATATGTAGACTCAGATGTTCTATGTTGGGTGACTTTATATGGCCTCTTGTAGTGTGACAAAACTTTCCCTGGGAGATATAAACATGTCTACTCACCCCAGAAAAAGAATCAACAACAAATGATATACAGTAATGGGGGATGTCCTTCTGTGTATGTTTCTCTTAAAATTGCTTGGTGAATAAAACACTGTTTGGCCAATAGTGGCAGGAAGATAGGCGGGACTAGAAAATAAGGAGAATTCTGTGAAAGGTAGACAAAGAGATACCATGAAAAGGGACACCATGTAGCCACCAAATGTGAAACAAGTCTGGACATTTTCCAGAAAGCCAAGACCACATGGAAATACTTAGACTAATAGAAATTGGTTAATACTTAAGACAGAGCTAGCCAATAAGAAGCCCAAGCCATCAGCCAACAGTTTTATAATTAATGTAGCAACTGTGTATTTATTTGGGGACAAGGCAGTTGTGGGACCAGGCTGGAAAGAAACTCCTGCAATAGTACAGATACCATCAAAATCCAGTTTGGGGGCTGGGGAGTTGGCTCAGTGGTTAAAAGCATTGGCTGCTCTTCCAGAGGTCCTGAGTTCAATTCCCAGCAACCACATGGTGGCTTACAACTGTCTATAATGGGATCTTGTGCCCTCTTCTGGCATCCAAGCATACATGTAAGCAGAACACTGTATACATAATAAAATAAATATTTATTTATTGTTTTAAAATCCAGTTTGGTGAACCAATGAGTTTTATTAGCTTTACTTACAGGAACATGAATAAAGAGCTACTTATAGGAGAAGAAATGACTCAAAGACAGCTACATGAGCCCTCCACAGCATGAGTGATAGCTTGTAACAGCTGGGAACTTGGTGCACACGGCATTACCTGCAGGCAGTTCAACAGGTTGGAGAGTATCCTTTCCAGGTTCCTCAGTTGGTCTAAGCCTCTTCCAGGTAGCAGGGCTGGTTTCTGCTTCCTTGGGGCAGCTGGTCTGGTCTCAGAGTCTTCTGTGCAGCTTGGTTTGTCTAGGAGTGACTCTTGGCTGTATTTATTCCTTACTGTTTACCACTATTGAGGCAGTGGGACCTGAGAGATAAATGCTGCTGATAAATGAGGCAGACCAAAGTCTCATGCAACAGTCAACTTTATTTAGAGCACCAATTTAGACCCTGGGGGTTAAGAAAATCCATATGGTAGCTGGATTGTGGTGGTGCACACCTTTAATTATAGCCCTTGGAAGGGAGAGGCACATGGATCTCTGAGTTCAAGGCCAGCCTGGTGTATCGAGTGAGTTTCAGGACAGCCACAGCTACACAGAAAAACCTTGTTTCAAAATAAAGTAAATAATATGATGTGGGATGTCTTTCTGTATAATGTGAATGTGTGTTGCTTTCATTGGTTGATGAATAAAGCTGCCTTGGAGCTGAGCGTTGGTGGCGCATGCCTTTAATCCCAGCACTGGGGGGGGGCAGAGAAAGGGGGATCCCTGTGAGTTGAGGCCACCCTGGTCTACAGAGCGAGTTCCAGGACAGTCTCTAAAACAGTACAGAGAAACCCTGTCTCAAACCCCCCCCCCCAAAAAAAAAAGCTTCTTTGGCCTATGGCAAGGTAGGATAGAGCCAGGCAGGAAATCCAAGCAGAAATACAGGAGAAGGGCAGAGTCTGGGAGATGCCAGCAACTGCCCAAGGAGCAAAATGCCAGAGCACCACCAGTAAGCCATGGGTCACTTGGCAATACACAGGTTAACAGAAATGGGTTAATTTAAATGTAAGATCTTGCTAGTAATAAGCCTGAGCCATTGGTTCAAACATTTATAATTAATATTAAGTTTCTGAGCGATAATTTAGAACAGATGGGGGTTTGGGTGAGACAGGAAACTTCCAGTTACATTTGTTGTACCAACATGGGGCTCTCGAATTTCTATAAGGCCTGAGAAAACTTTAAAAAATGGTTTCTTGTCACACATAGATGGAGCCCAAACCAATTACCTAGTTGTGTCTCTCATGTGGGCCAAGGTATAGAGATAGCTCAGCATGCATACTTGAGTACAGCAGGGTGGATTCCTGCCACAGTACACAGAGGTATATATAAGCTGTGTAGCATGCTGCATGGTAGATTTAGCTTTTGTTCATACAGACAAAAAAGACTAAAAGATACACAGTATAAAAGAGGTCCACACAGAAAAACCTTTAAACAGGTTCCAATATGTCTTACAATGTGCATAGGCTTAAGAAGGAAAGAAAATAGGTATAGACAAGCATAGAAAGAAATAATTAAAAATAAAACAAAGTTTTTAAAAATGACAATACAAGTTGTAGGAGGAAGTCTGATGCCGCCATTAAACATGTGACTTACTAAGTCTATGCCGCCATTAAACATGTGACTTTCTAGAGGCGCATACAGATGAGGTAATAAAAGGGCGGTTTACCACACCGCTAACCACACCCACTTTAGGTAGGACTAAAGACGCATACGGCTGGACGTAAAGACGTATACGTATGTAGGCGGAACTACGTCACTAGCCAAGCCCACTTTTGGGCATGGCTAGGGGCGTTACGGGGGAAGGCATAAAAGACAGCGCACAGGAAGTCTCGCTCTCTTTTCCTGGAGTTCGGCTTCCGGTCCAGTCGCTAGCTGAGATCTGCTGGGCTTCTCTGGGTTTGGTAACTTGTGAGTAATTTTCTACATAAAATACTTAGCGTTACTTTCAGTCATTGTGTGTCGCGTATCGTTACAGCGTCCGTTGAAGCCAACAACAAGTAATATAAGAGAAAAAAGCCATGTAAAGATGGGAAATACACAAGGATTCTGGATCCTATATGTTATTGTGTTGCTTTTGAATTTTTTGATGGGTGATGGCCAAGGGAGAGCTGTGGGAAGACATGGGATTAAATGAGAGACTGATAAAATATACCAACATAAATAATTTAAAATGCCTTAACTTTAAAAGTCAAAACTATATTTGCAACATGGAACTTAAAAGATACATAGCTTTGGGGAAACTGTTTTGCTTTCGTTTCCACAGGAAACACAAGGCTATGGATTTGTTCCAGATTAAGATGGACCAGGTTTGATGAAGGGAGGCCTCCTGAGCCTTGACAGATGATATCTATCAACAAAGATTGTAACCGGTCTTCCCAGGACTTGGCCATTATCTCAAATTTTGTCAGGGTTCCTCAAGCTCACAATCAGCAGGAAGTAACCTACAGAATTATGCCCAAGTTCCCAAAATATTATTTATGAATGTTTGTTTTCATTTAACGGGGATGGTTATAAATGGTTAATTGTCATAATAGAGTTCTTTTTAAAGAATAAAGGGCAATATGGCGTAGAAATGATGGGGAAAGGGGTATTATTATGATAAAAATAAGGGGTAGATTATTGAATGTATTTTAACAAAAAACCCACCACTGTTAATCTTAAAATACCTTACATTGGCATGGATTTTGGTTTATTGATACAAATTTAAGATCAATTTTGTTTTTACTATATGTATATTTCTACTCTTATTTAAGATATTATGTTTATGCAGCTCATTAAAAATGTAATAGTTACAAATACAAATTAATAGTCACCTCTAATAGTCAAACTTACAGTCATGTTAGTTAGATTTTCTAGATATGCAGAGATCTATTTCAGATAGGTAGGTAATCTTCAAACCTTCAAAGACTTACAGAATACGGCATTTATAAGTTTTAAGAACTTAGTCTTTTCTTGACAGTGATACATGTCTGCTTCAAGAGGATGATGGGCATCTAAGACGCTCCTTATGTGCCATTTGGCAAGAAGCTGCTCTCGCCTGGACTGCTTGACGGTATGTTGTATAAACTGGATATGCAGGACCCACAGGAAAATGACCGTTGAACATTGTCAAAACAAGGGGACAGTCCTTCAGGGTTCCTGCTTCGCAGAAGAAACTGTCAGACATTCTGCAGGACACAGAGAAAAGTGACCGACAAACTGCCAATATAGGCAGGACGGTCTTTCAAATTTCTGCTTCACTGAAAAGTCTGTAACACAAAAAACAAAAAACCAGAGGACAGATACTGGGGTCCAAGCTGTTGATCAAAAAGCAGATGGACACTCGCTCTTACCTCCACCTCAGGCTGAAAGGGCTGTCCTGTCCTCACTAATCCTCCGAGGACGATGCTGACTGCACTGCTCTCCACTAAGCCTCAGATTGCAATCCTATGCCTTCCCTGTCTGGAATCTCCACACGAGACCCTTTGCTTCTTCTTTGTATACCTCTCTCTGCCCAGCCATATCCCTCCTGTCTCCACCTTCCTCACGCTTGGATTAAAGGCGTGTGACTCCCAAGTGCTGAGATTACCTTTGTGTGAGCTGTTTCTCTTTTAGACTGGATCAATTTTGTGTTGCTCAGTGCGGCCTTGAACTAACAGAGATCTGTCTGCCTGTTTCCTGAGTCCTGGGACTAACGGTGTATGCCACCATTGCCTGCCTGTATGGGTAGCTGGTGTGGCTGCTGGGATTAAAGGTGTGTTGAAGAAATTGAGGTCACAAGACTCATCTTGTTCTCTTGGCACTTAGAATTCTCCTGGCATGACTGCATTCTAGGACTGTGTTCTGTCACTTTGGCAGGGAGGGACCTGGTGAATCTGGTCAGTTTCAGGGAATTCCTGAAGCTATTTTGAGTTGTTTACCTACCTATCTTATCCTTGCAAGTGGGATGCTTTGATCTCAGAGGAAATGGCTGCAGAAGAGCTCTCCATGAAAATGAAAAGTAAACTAGCTGAACACCTTCACATTCACTTAAGAGAGCGTTTCTACTCTTGGTTTTGGAATAAGAAGAGATTTCAGGGATAATAAAGACCACTAGAAGCGCTTCTCCTCCTGAACATCATGTTCCTGGGACAGACTTTCCTCGTCTTGTTCTTTCCTTCATTCCAGCATCAGTAATGCTTTCCACTAAGTAAAGCTCTCTATGAAGTTCTCTGAGGATTTACAGATAAAGATGTTTGTTTTCTTTTTCCTTCTGGTGCCACATGCCTACTATAGGACATAAGGTACAGATAATCATAGCTGACTACAGAGTAACATGCAAAGTCATGGGTGCCACATGGGAAATCCTACTAAAAGTAGTGGGGAGGAAAACGATATGAAGAAATTACTTCTGGCTGAATGAATTGGTGGTATTTCAGGGAAACCTAAGAGAGGAAATATGACTCCACCTTTGAAAAGCTGTAAGCAGGAAGTTTATTGCTGGCTGAAAAAAAATGTGTATAAGCAAGCACACATAGGAAGGAAGGATGGGATGCCTTCCAGACTCAAGAACCCAAGGTGTGGAACAGAGGGAGAGCAAACATCAACAAATAAACGAGTGATGGTTCCAGTGTAGGTTCTGCTTTTAAGGACTATGTCGCCGACATATTTAGTTTCCTTCGTTTCCAGCTTTTGTTACTGCAGACAGTGGACTAACCATCTACCAAAACCACAGGATTATTGTGGGCATGAAATGTATAAAACCTGTGAGCATTCTTCAAGCTGTGTGGTCTGAATGCCCCTCAAAGTGCCCATGTTGAAACTTAATTGCCAACAAATAGCACTCAGACTTCTCGGGAGTGTGGCATCCTTCTTCCTTCCTGTTGCCCAGCAAATCATTTGTCCATGGCATCATTCCTCCATGAGCAGAAGCTCTGCCTGGACGCCCAGGATCTCACTCCACCTGTCTCCTACATAGTGTCTAACCTGTCCCTGTCTCCACAGCAGTGTCAGAGTGGCCATTTTATATGTTAATCTGGGCATGCCTTTCCTGTGTTTCCTATGGGCCACAGAACCCTCCATAATCTCTCCCTTCTTCGTCGCTTCTCCCTTTCCCATCTCCCCCAAGTTCTGGTGCCCACTTGCGACTGCTGACGCACACCACCGACCTCTCAGTGGCCCATGCTCTAGCAAATTCCTTCTCTGCATTGCCATTCCCTGGATTTTCTACTCAGTGCCCTATAGTCCACCACCAAGTCATAACACGGGCCCTTTCCCACCAAGACACCCTGATGCCTGATGGTGATGCTGTTCGCCGCTTAGCCTCGGTAACTCGGTTACTCTCTCAACACTTCACCCATACAAAAGCTATTGGAGCATTTTCCATACACGTTGTCACTGTTCACTGGTCTCCACATTAGATCCAGAGTCCTCTGTTATTGTTTCTGTTCTTTTTCCCCCAAGCTATCACTTTTAGGACAGTTGAACCTAGTAAATACTTGTTAAATGGATTAACATTGTACCCATTGACTTGGACTTCAGAAAATTCTCAAATCTTGATTCTTTTTCACCCTTTCTCTAGTTGCCTATTCTACTCCATTTCAGTTCAACCCAGCCACACATGCCTGAGGTCAGAAGTCAAAGGTGGTTCTCTGCTTTCAAGCTACACCAGCCGGGAGTGAAATGAGGACTTTTGCATCCGTCAACCATATTTCACTCTCTTGCTGGCATGAAGATTTCAGTGACACGGATGTTTGAAGAGGAATGGTTTTTGCTGTGGTCATTCCTACCCCTGACTTTTTTCATATATTTTTTTTTAGCTTTTTACACATGTCATACTCAGTTCCCTCTCCCTCCCCTCCTCCCCTACCCCCAAATCCTCCCAACCCCTCGCTCCCCACTCCATCCCCCCCTCCACTCCCCAGGGAGAACAAGGGCCTCCATGAGGGATTTTCAGGGTCTGTCACATCATCCTGGGAAGGGCCTAGGTTCTTCTCCATGTGTCCAGGCTGAGAGAGCACCCCTCCACGTGGTATGGGTTCCCAGAGTCCTTCTGTATGCCAGGAATGAATAATGCTCTACTCTCCAAGGTCCCACAGATTGGCAAGGCCTCCTGTCTGTCACCCAGGTTCAGTAGGAGGGATGTCTGGATCAGTCCCATGCTGGCCCCTCAGTCATCAGTCTGGAGTCCATGTGTTCCCCCTTGTTTAGGTCAGCTGCCTCTGTGCCTACTCCTGATTTTTAAACAGAATTTTACCCAATAAAAGTAATTAACAGCAAAGAAAAATGGGAGCAATATCCTAACCAATTCAAACTCAAATCCAGTTCAGTTTTTGATATTGTCACTGTGTTAGGTTCAGTGTGAGGACTCATCTTCACACATGCTCTTCTCCAGGTAAAATCATTTATCCAGCTGAGAGGTTTCTGGTCCGGCGCCACTGATGTTTAGAACTACACATCTATCTATTGGGAGGGAGGGGGCTTTTCATGGCATCAGAATATTCCACAGCATCCATTTCTTCTACCCACTAGATGCCAGCAGTGTCCACACATTGTGACAACAGAAACTAGCTTTGCCATTGAGGCATTCCTCAGTCCAGGCAGGCTGACACCTAAAATCAACCATCACAACACGTTTGTAGGCTAACAAAGCCAAGACAGCACAAATCTGCTGTGCTGTTCCTGCCCGTAGCACACTACCTGGTTCTTACTCCAGGCTCCATGAAAGAACTGTATAATCTCTGCCTCAATAGCAAAGCTCTAGAAAACAAAGAAATCCTAAGTATAGCCCTGTTATCAGAGGTCTCTAAGAAGCAGTGTAGTTTGCAAAGGACAGAAGGGGCCTTTAATACTCTTTCTGAAAATCCAAGAGACAGAGAAGAGCGGCCATAAACACCAACAAGGCAGAAGACTATGATAAGCCCTTGGGGACACGAAGGGACAGACACACATAGATGTCTGTGTGTGTTTGCAATTTTGATGAAGGGTGGCACCCAGCAGGACCCACAACTCCCATTAGGTCCTGGTCTACAGAAAGGGATTTCTGAGTCAGGTGACCAGGAAGTGAGGGGGCACAGAAATAAATCAATAGCCAACTTTCCCATTCTCTGCTGCCTTATATTCCTACCTTTTATTGATAGCATGAAGCAGCCAGATGGTCTGCTGGAGTATCTAGGGGCCCAAATAGCATGGGAAAGGGTAGGAAATATACCCACTGCCAGAGAAACCTCATTGCAGACATAACTGCCAGCACATTGTAAACGGATGTGGCTTTTCCAGCAAAGCTTCTATTGGGAGATGGTATATACTTTGAAAGTTGATACATCATGAAGGAATTGTGCATGGCTCTCTCAAGAGATTGGTCATGTTCATTGTCCCTGCAGTTGCCTGCCACACTGTGGATCTAGCTCCGATGACAAACATATGACATAAGTCTCACTGAGCTCCACATCTGCCTCCCTCCTGCAGGCAGGGGAGTTAGAGGTCTCGCAACGCCATGGCTTCCTCTTTCACTTTTTCTGTGATGGAAAAAGAGAAGAGAGAAGAGCTATCAAGACTTATGGTGTGTGCAAGAGTTTGAGGCGATTTCACGGGGAGCAGAGGGAAGGAACAGCTGACTGGAGGATAAGAAGGACCTTGGGACACTAACCTGGTCAAAGGGATAAGATGTTTGCCCATGTGTGGTGCGATACTGTGTCTTTCCCCTTTGGAATTTCCTGAAACATTTAAGAGAAAGTCTAAATTGCTTCCCAATTTTGTTTCTAAACATGAAGCTACTCAGATAAGTTATCCCAGCCTTCATGCGGCCTGCAGAAGAAGGCAAAGAGCAGATGAGCATCTGGCTGGGGATTATTTTCCAGGAGGAAAATGTAGAGAAGATGGGAGCCGAGAGTTGCCAGGCTCAATGGCATGTCTTTGTGAACTCCACTGCCTGCCCTCACTCAAGCTTCCAGGGAACTCTTGAGAATATCGTCATTAGGGCATCATGGAGGATTCAGAGATGAAGATCTGTCCAGCGCAGTGTAACCCTGAGTGAAAACACTGAGCAGAAGAGCTGGGGGCCACTCATAAGCAGAGCACCTTTGAGATAGAAAAGTGCAAGGCCCACTGGTGCGGAGACTGCGTGCTTTCTGAAACCAAGTCCCTACTTGTCTCATCTCCCAATGCTCCTAACTGCCCACCTTAGTGATTAGCAACCTCAGCTTTATCTGTCTGATCTATCTATGCCTTTCATGGGTCCCTTCTGCAAACCTGAGCCCAGCACGCACGCCTGTGCTTGGAACCTGTGAAAACTGCTTTTCTTCCTTTTTTTTTTTTTTTGAGACAGGGCTTCTCTGTGTAGCCTTGGCTATTCTGGAACTCACTCTGTAGACCAGGCTGGCCTTGAACTCACAGAGATCCACCTGCCTCTGCCCCCTGAGTGCTGGGACTAAAAGTGTGCGCCTCCACAGCCTGTCAAAAACAGCTTTTCTTAACAGTAGGTTTTTTTTTGTTTGTTTTGTCTAATGTTTGAGCAGCTGCTGCTTCTCCATC